CACATTCAGCGTTAAGCTTCCAGTCGGGGAAAACCCGATTTAGATCGGAGCGGCCACGACGATCTAAATCACACTACAGGATGATCGGTTACGAAATCACCAGCGACAATCTTGGATCGCCCAACGTTGTAAGATTATTGTAAGAGGAAAATGGGGGCAAAAAATCGTGTAGTGTGAACTATTGCATAAGGTAGTCGGTCTGTATGAAAAGCCCATATGCGTTTTAATTATGTATTGAGATAAATGCGGCATGATCTTTATAAGAAATTAAATCACAGCTATTCAATCACGTTTTAATATCTTTAATCTCTATGATTTACCTGTTTTGGTTTAGCAAAAATGCATCAAGTACTTTTTTTCCATTGATGTCAAAGTTGCAGAGAAGAAAAATCTAAATTTTATCTTACCATGTTTTATCTTCTTAATTGTCTGAATATTCAGATTTTCTAGTAACAATCATAGTGCTTGTCTCAAACCAGTTCCTTTAACACGCTTTTCCACTAGCCGCCTCTAACCAGTTCGGTCCGGTCCGCCCCTACCAGATTCATTTTCCATTAGCAAATTCAGCATGACTCTGCCCAGCTGTTCTCAGATTTTCATACCTATCCAGGGCCAGTACTAGCTATACCGAGCCAGGTATGCCACCAAAGTGATTTGATTGACAGCTGACGGCATTGATTGACTGGCTCATTATTACCCGACAGCAAAAGCAATACTATGGTTTACCTGTGGACCGAGAGCTGCTCAGTACAAAGAAGCTATTTTGAGTTTAATCAGGAGCAGTGCTAGGAACACATGCGTTCAAGTTTTACAGTGGAATGGCCGTGATATAGCAGCGCTGCCAGCAGCATGTCGCTTTGAAGAACTGGCAGCAATAAAGAAGAGAGAAACGGTGCAGCTGTGGTCAGTTTTCTGACTGGACTAGTTTTTGCACCAACTGTTTCAAACTCTGGAACTGCATAGTATTAACTTGATGTGATGTGAATTTAATTTTTCTTTTTTTTAAAAAAATAAATGAATAAAGTTCAAGCATGTCCATTGGTTTACATCTTTTTACATTACTTAAATCCTAAGGACTGCACATTTAAAAAAAATCCCAGAATATTCATATGTATAGTGAAATAATCAGCAGATCTCAGTCTTTATCATTAGGTTTGGACCAGTAGTAAACTGATAGAAGACAAAATTAAATATGAGTTTTTGAGTTAATCAGAATCACAACCATAACCTTGAAGTTCTCCATTGCTGAGTGTTGGTGCAAACATCAGTGGAGAGTTGACCACAGCTGCTGCATGCACACGCCCCACCCACAATAGTGAGGAACAGAGCATATAATGGAAAAGCTCGCTACCTGAGGTAGAACTGAACTGCACGTAAACCAGTTAGTGCACAACTTGCCAGTGGAAAAACATCTTTAGTTGTTTTTCGTGCAGTGAAAAAAAATACATCTAATTGATTTGTCTTGGATTAACCTCAGTCTTTAGATGTTCTAACTTTTTGTTTTTATTCTTTTTTTTAGTGAGGTTGATCGTGACAGACAAACTCCTTCTCCAGATGTCATCATACTTTCAGACAATGAGGCGTCGAGTCCCAGGACAACACCTCGACCTGAAGAGCGCATGCACCAGGCTAACCTGGAGATTTTTAAGGTTAATTTAGAACAGCTCCCACTTCTTCTTTGTACACCATGATTCAGTATTACCTCTATCTTAATGTGGTTATGACAAGTATTTAGAATCCTTTGGAGATACATTTTAACAGCGGGTGAAGAAACTATCTCTGACAGAATTTAAATTAGTTTTAAAAATTCAGTTTTTGAAATTTAGAGTTTCATATTTCATATGGTTGGTGGCTTTGAATTTACTATTTGTATTTTACTATTTTTGACTCAATTTTTTTTTTTGACAGTTTTTCAATTTAGGTACCACTTGGAAGTATTGATTCTTTTAGAGCCAACAATCATGCATAAAAAATGAAAAGCCAAGCTGATATGAGCACACCTGGTTTGCAGTAGATTCTCTGTGAATGAAGACAATCAGGAAAAGGAATACTTTCCTGATTGTAAGTATTCAACCAGGAAAGTATGATTCCTGATGGTGGGGTACCAAATATAATGTAGAGTTTGTGCTCTCGTTGTGTAACATTGGGCCCAGGAGATTTCCACCACTTTCACATGCTTAGCGGAAACATTGTGTTGTCAAAATAGTGCTAAATGTCAAAGTGGAGAGTAGAAATGTGCAATATATATAGTATATGGTAGAAACGTATACCGCATAAGTTTCTACATATACGTAGACCAAATTGCTATAATAGAAATTCGGCCTACGATAGTCTACCAGATAACTGCAATAATGCTTGTTTATGACGCAATCATCTGGTATCAAAATAGAGCAAGTGAAAAACTGAGTGGCTGAGAGCACAAGGGAAGAGCTTGCTAAAAAGGCAGGTGCAAAAACTTAACTTATCTGGACTTGGTTCAGGTTTATTTTCCTGTGGTCTTAGCGCAATGCTCAGGAGGAGCGCAGCAAGCAGGAAGCGCGAATGTGACGACCCCACCGGACCATGCACAGAGTAAAACACTCAGATCAGGAGCAGAAAATTGTAATCTGCAAAGTGTGTGGAAGAGAGGACATACAAGCAATTTGTTTTACCACCTTAACACGAAGCATGTGCTTGAATACCAGAAATACAGCTGATTACAAGTTCCAGTAACTACACTGAGAAGACAAAGAAGGATTTGACGCAGACATTATTACATTAAAGTTAGTGTTTCTAGTTAGAAATATATTTTTCATTTATTTTTTTTTAACTTTGATTTAACCAGGTAGTCATCATTGAGATTATGCTCCTGCCTATTATTGCCAGATCTCCCTTACAATAATTTTTTTAAGGAAGACCTGGTAATGATAGGCAGCAACATAAAACAAAACGCTTTTATGTTGCTGTTGCATAAAATCGTATGTTGCATGCGAACAGCATCCACAAAAACCAGTGTTAAACAAGCGTTTATGCATACATTCCACTCGATTAGTATATTAATTTTTTTGTTTCTATTATAAGTTGTATGTAAATTATATTGTGATACATATCATTACTGCCATCCCTCACAATATATAATGTGATTTGAATTTTATGCCACATCGCACATGCCTAGTGGGGATGTCAACACAAAGTTCATTTGATGTACATCACAAAACATTGCCTTATTCATTATATCATCATCGCTAATGTTTATTTAGAGAAACATCAACAACCCCTAGTATAGAATATTTTTGTTTACTTCTAGAAGTTTTAGTATGCCAATCAGTATTTATTTAGTTAATCACTTTATTATTGATGGTAAAGTCAAATTTAAAAGAGCCATGGTTAAAAAAAAAAAAAAATCATTTTAAAAATTGTTTTATTTCAAGTCTAAAATGTAATGACTGGTTGCTTCTGTAATTCCATAATCCAGTTTCCTGACGAGATGTTTTTTATTATGTATTTATTTGTGTTTATGTATTATTTTGAATGAGCTTATCGTGCTTTTCTGCAGTTGTAACATACATATTGATGGCCACAGCAGTTGGTCTTCAGTAATTTCCTTGAAATTTGGTTATTTTTCAAAAATATTCCAAAATAATAAAACATATTTTTAGTTTCTTCATCTGCAAACCACTGGTCATATAATCCCCCAAAATTAATCTTTTTACAGCTTTTGTTCACAAGTATAACTCCAAAAATAAGATTATGTTACAATAGTGACAGCTGGGAATACAATTTTATTAGTGAGTATCAATTGAAATTTCAACATTTAACTGAAACAGTAGCAATTCAGTAGCAATCTCTAATTAATGCATTCTGTCATGTGATTACTGAACAAAAAAGAATGAACTCAATGCACATTTTAGTGGTAGAACACATACAAAGGACTGTCACAATAACATATTTTGCCAGGCTATTAATTGTCCCAGAAATTATTGTGATAAACAATAATATTGTCATTTTGAGACCATTGTTAACTAATAGCTTAAAAAATGTCTAACAATGCAAATACACCTTCTCAGGGGTCAATAAACAAATTTCAAAAGAACATTTAGCACTGGACCTTTTAATTACTAAAAAAAAATTCAGAGGGATTTTGGGGGGTTTGCAAAATCCCTCTGAATGTGAACAGGTTTGGAGGACCTGTTCCCATTCAGGTCCTCCAGTTCATGGGAGAGGGGAAAAGCGGTCGCCACCCTCAAGATGCCGCCCTTGGCGGTTGCCCGTGTTGCTCATTCCAGAAACCACCACTGCACCTCAGTGACAATAGGATGGTCCCCAAACAAGCAAAAGGCATCTATACATTTTAGGTGCAGATATGTTGGTTATTGTTTAGTTGTTACTATTTTACAACATAGTGGCTCCACAGGTTCAGTGGTTCACCACAGTCATTCAGTTTGAATCCAAAGCCTCCAAGACTGCAGCTGTGAAATTACCGTAATAACCCGATATTGGCTGGAAAGTGCCAAGTGTGGCGGAATTACGGTACTGCAAATTTGGATGCGTCATTGGCGAAGGGTCAATACAAGCTCAATAAATTTGAGTGCTGATTGTTTTGTAATATCTTAGTCTTGATAAATAAAATCTTTAAAACCATATATCTGAATCTTCTATCTTGGCTGATGAGTCACAATTGGGCCACTCTTGAAATGGGGCCCATATGCAGCATAAAATCATTGTGAAGACCGCAAATGGTCCCAGAATTGCACTTTAGACACCGTAGGTTTAAAACTTTTCAGTGTATAAAATATTCAGTGAAATTGTTGCTTTTTGTTCTGAATCTGTTTTTCCATAAACTTCACCACTCACATGTTGATCTGAAACATGGTTGGACCTTGGTGAGGCAATTCAACTAAGTATCATTACAAAAGTTAATGGTTTTAGTTAAAAGTCCATGACTGTAAAAGTCACTGTATAAAAGTAGTTACTGTGTATGTGTGTTTGTCTGTGTTTTCTCCAGGGAAAAACAGGAGAGGAGCGACAGCAGATGATCAAAGCTCTGAGGGAAGAGCTGCGCCTGGAAGAAGCCCGTCTCGTCTTGCTCAAGAAGCTTAGACAAAGCCAGATGCAGAAGGAGAACGTTGTGCAAAAGGTTAGCGTTTTTTATTATTTACATCCTTAGAAGAGAATAGGCTTTTTGAATATTGAATCTAAAAAAAAAATTTTGAATATGAACATCCTTGATAGGACCATTGCTCTATCAAGGATGCTCATTTTACATGCTTGTCTTAGGTAAATATGAACCAAAACAGCTAACATGTCTTGTGCTCTAGACAGCATCTGTTAGAAATTTTTGAGGTTTTATTTGTTTATTTTTATCATCTTGTTCATTTTTAAGTTCTACTTTTTATCTCATTATAAAACTCATGATCTTTGTGTGGTTCATTTTTACAGATTAGAAAATACCCTAACAGCATGTCTGTTCATAGGGCAATGGTGGGGTTCACCAAGCACTCCTGTACATGTTTAGGTGTGTTGTAGTTTCAACACAACTGTGTGATACTGATATGTGACTGGCA